GAACGGCGGGCTGCCGGTACCGCGCTGTCTCCAGGTCCCGGTACCGGCTTTGCGGGTGGTTCGGAACCGCAGTGAGCGCGCGGGGTTTGGTAGCACCGAGCAAACGGGCCGCGGTGCTGCGGGAGGAAAGCTGCGTTTCTCCGCGTCTCAACGGCAGAACGCTCAGCGTGCCCTGCAAGTTTGTTCGTCTCTATTCGGGGAGCGGAACCCCAGCCGGGCGCTCAGCCGCGGTGGGGCCGGCGAGGTGCGGTCTGTGCACGCGGGTGTGATGTGCTGCTGGGTGAGCGAATGGGGAGAGCGGGGAGCCGTGCGGTCCCTCTGAAAGTGAACGTCACATTCCCAGAGCGATGTGTGAAAGCAGAAACGAGGAGGTGTTGTGCTTGGCTGTTAGGCTTGGAAAAAGCTCCCGTGATGAACTCCTGCACTGCTTCAGCAGGGATCACGCTTGTCCCTTGGGCAGTGGTGAAATGGTGATGGTGGCGAGGAGGACTTCCCTCTAAGACAGCACTGGAACCTCTTTTCATTGTGAAATACTTGGAGTTGTGCATCCAGCAGCCTGCACCTGGGTGGCTTTTCAGCGTTTTGCCATTTATGGGAGTACCTTTGAGATCTGGACCAAATCTCTCGTTTAATTATTAATGTCAGAACATTTTCCATCCAGCTTGCAGAGCACACGTTGGAGCGGTGGCGACGAGAGTGCTGCTGAATGAGCCTTTAACCTGGAGCCTCTAAACTGCTGAAGCAGCACGGTTGTGGCTAATTGCAGTCTGATATGGCTGCTGCACTTCTCCAGGAGCCAGTGGGGCCCATTTGTGGCAGCTTTGCAACTGGTGATGTGCAGCAGGACAGGGATCCCTCCCAGCTTGTGCACCAGGCTGTGTGTGGCGGTGTGATGGAGTCAGGTGCAGCATCCTGGAGATGGGATGGGACCAGTGGCACAAACTCAGGCATTTCCCTCCCCAGCTGTGCAGCAGGGCTGGTCTATGTGAGCGCGTGCATCCTAGGTAGCATAGTTCATGAAAGAAGTGCTTCCTGACATCCAGGATGGAGATCTGTCTGTTTTCACCCTCCAGTTGTGCTAGAAGCCCAGGTTTAATCCTCCCTAAAAATGCTGTCCTAGCTCTGCTCTGCAGGACTCTGTTGTCCTGGTGGCTCTTTCCAATCCCCGCGCTGTCCCCGGGTCAGGGCTTGGGCTGACAATACATCAGTGCACAGTGTGGGGTGCTGGGAGTGCCTCGGGACCCCTGAGGCTCTGTCCACACCTGGGCTGTGTTGGAGTCATGCATCCAGAGGAGAGTTCTGCTTTCCTTGGCAGCACAGCCTGTGTTATTCTGGAGATGGAGCCAAGAGACAGCCCTGAGACTTTTCAGCTCAGAGGAGTGTTAGCATTGCTACACCAGGCTGGGGGGGGGGAGGTCTGTCAGAGTGGGGTGAGCACTGTGTGACTCTGGCTCACAGGAGAGTGGATCCTCTGAAAAAGAAGAGGAATGGAGAGCCCCTGTGCAAGGACACCAGAACTCACTTGTGGAAAATGGTGCCTGGGTACGGATCATGGAGAGCAAAGGTCTGCTGGGGATGGAGGGCGGTGCGGTACGATGGAAGGGAAGAAGTGGGCACATTTAGGATGGAAATAGAAGGTTTGTGACTGTCAGGGGGGTGCTGTGTGGGGATGGTCATTCTGGTGTCATGTACTGGATCTGTGAATCTGGCTGGGTTGGAGCCCGGTGGTGTCCAGGACTCAGTGAGTAGGGGGCTGCCAGCAGGTGTGGGGGTGGTGAAGGGTCTGGGGGCTTTTGGCACTGAGCCTCAGGGTTCATTGGGCAGCCCAGCACCTGGCTCTGCTCTCAGACTGTGACATGAGAGGGATGTGCTCCTGCCTCCTCCATTGTCCCTCCATTCCCTCCATTCCAGAAATGCTGCAGGTGCTCTGTGCCCTAGGACATGGCCAGTGGGGTGGGATGGGGTGGGATGGGATGGGATGCAGCGGAGGTCACCACCATGGAGGGGTTTGTGCTCCGCTCTGTTTGCAGGGTGTGCCCATAACGAGTCTCCTGCTGGAGCTGCTCAGCAGTTCCCACTGTGCTCTCTGTGAAAGACAATATTGTGCACATACAGAGAGCTGGCAAGGAGGGAACTCTGCAGTAGATATAGAGAGCTTTGGGATCAAGGATTGTTTTTTTCCACAGCAGGGACCAGAGCCAGAACCAGCTCTTTCCTGCAAGTGTGGATGGTATCATCAGGTGCCCTGAGCTCTTGCTCTTGCTCAGGGCACAGCTTGCAAACCCAAATCTCTCTCTCTAGCATGGGCACATGGTCCTGTTTGCACTTTAGAGCAGACAGTTTTGGGACTGGGGGCAGATTCACCCTGGATTCCCAGCTGCAGAGATGGGACGGCAAACCTCACCTGTGGACTCGCTCCAGCAGGTCCTTCTTGTCCAGTTTTTCTTGTGCTGGGGGCCTTGAGCTGACTGCAGTTCTCTAGGTTGGGTCTCACAAGGGCAGACCAGAGGAGGACAATCACCTCCATCATCCTTCTGGCCATGCTTCTTTTGCCATGCTTCTTTTGCCACAGCACAGGATGCAGTTGGCTTTCTGAGCTGCGAGAGCACATTGCTGGCTCACATTCAGCTTTTCGTCAGCCAAACCACCGAGTTCTTCTCCACCTGTATGTGTGTTTGGGATTGCCCCAGCCCAGGTGCAGGACTTTGCCCATGGACCCACTTCTTGAGCCCTCAGTGTAGATGTGTTGGCTGTAACCAATCACCTCGCTGTTTTCCGTGGGCCTCAGCATCGTTTTCCAGGAAGATCTGCTCCATCATCTTGGAGAAGCAAATGTGGATCTAGGCTTTGCTGGAGAGTCTGTGTGAGAGCTGGAGTGAAACACTTCCAGCACTATCATGACTGCCTGGGTTGCCAGAGCAGTCCTTAGCTGAGGGTGACTTCTGGAAGGCTTTCTTGTATGGATATGTTGGAAGAAGGACAATATTGATAGACATCATGGACCTTCCAACAGTTCTGTTGTGAAAGACTGATGAAGATTGATGTTCTTCTCCCAGGCATGGAGCCTTCTCTTCAGACCATGCACTCTTCAGAGGCATCCACAAAGCAAGTCCTGAGAAGAACATGCTGAGATCTTTAAATACTGTGAGCCCCAAAACTATCTGCAGTAACTTGTAATACTTCTGAAGGGAGAAGTTCTTGAGTCAGAAAAAGGGGTTTGTTTGCAAACAGTGGGACAGAAATGCAATGAAAAGACAATCTTATGCAGAGGCAGTTAAAAAATAGCATCTCCTGTTGAGCTTGAAGCTCTAGGACATTCCCTGTGAATATCTGTGCTACAAATGATTGAGAGCTAGATAAACAAAACTGCCACAGGGAATAGTGCTTGAGAGATCAAGGGCACAGCTGGATTGCTGGTCCTGCAAAGCAGGGAATCACTGACCCGAAATGGCTCAGCCAGGCGAGGGGCTGTGCTCAGAGCCGTGGAGAGTGGCAAAGTACTCCAGAAGTGACAGAGCTGAGAGAAAAAGAAAATCCTTGCCAGGCCCTGCATCTGACTGCTAGAGTGCACTGGTGCTGGTATCACTCTGAACTTCTCCACCTTCCTTAGGAGCTCTACGTCTGGTGGAAGAGGTGTGGATGGGGAGCTTGGGGCAGTCTCTGGCTGCCATGAGTGGATATCCGTGTTCTTTGTCATCCATTGGACCTCAGCCTTTTCTACTGAAAGGCATCTGGGAGATCTGGTAGCCATAGGGACCTCCATGTGTTTGTGGGACTTCTCACCTCACCAAGGTCTGTTATTCAAAGCTTAGAGTAGGGTTATCTCACATTGCTCACAGGTGGGGAGATCATGAGATGACCTGACATCCAGAGACCTTTTAACCAAAGCTCTTCCAGGATCCTGTGGCTCTCCAGTGGCACTCGGCTGTGGGGCTCCCAGATGGGAGGTTCAGCCTGTTGCTTGTGGGGCTGAAAGGATGCTCACGATGCTTGCTGTGAACAGCTGTAGGATCCCAGCCATGGGGACGTCAGGCATCTATCAACCTCCCAGCCTCTGCCAAGGGTCAGCCCAGGCACAGCCTCTCCCTCCAGAGAGCCTGCGGGGACCATCAGTAGGGGAACTGCACAGAGGATTGCTTCAGATTGCTGCCTTGAAGGCCCAAACAAAGCATTCACTTCATTCAAATGGCCAATACTCATGGGCAGGCACCCGCCAAACCCCTCAGAAACCAGCCAGACCGGCTGGAAAAGCGTCCTGCTTTCAACTGTGCGTTGGCATCTCTGCAGGGTTGGGAATCTTCTATTGCTTTACAGTAAATTATTGTCCTATATCACTGATATACAACAGTCTCAACTGCTGAGACTCTCTTTCTCTCCTATAAAACCATTTTCCATTTCTTCCTGTGAGTTTTGGCAAAGGTCCACATAGCAGCAAAGCAGATACTGCATGTGACTTTGCTGCTGTATTTTTCCCAAATCTTCTGCATCTCTGTGCCTCCTTCCTTGAGTGTTTGTTTCTTTTTTGCATTTGCTGTAGCGTAAGTATTGGCAAGCTGCTCTCCTTGGATGCTCTCACCCTTGCCACTCAGTGACTTGGCTCTTCCTTGTTCCGTTCCCTCTGCAAATGAGCTTGACTGGGAGCTCTGCACAAACGCAATGGCTCTTTGGGGACTGGATGTAGCTTTCATAACACACTCCTGGCTCATCCACGGGGACCTGCACAGGGTTGAGAGGTGGGCCTGTATGAACCTCACGTGTGCCCCATCCCCAGTGCTGCTCCAGGCCATGGATGGGCTCAGGGCAGCCTGGACTGGTGGGGGCCCCTCCAACCCACCCGTGCTGTGATTCTATGAAACGGTTAATTCTAGCCTTCCCAAAGGCAGGGCTTCAGAAAGTTATTAAAGCCTGGAGATGAACCAAGCGACTCTGGTGATTTAAAACTTCAGAAGGATTTTTGTGCCCCACGCAGGTGCCGAAGGACGCCTGAGGCCTGGTGCCAGCAGGTGGCTGCCATGCGAGGCGCTGCCCGTCCCCTCGCTGCTCTGCACACCGTCCCTGCTGCGCGCCCGGCGCCGTGCTGCTCTGCTCGCCATGGGAGGATGCTTCTCCAAGCCCAAGCCAGGTGAGATGGAGGGATGAGGGGATGTAGGTCAGCGGCAGCTCCGCGGGCACCGCTGGGGAATGTTAATTCTCCGCTCCTGCAGGGAGGATTACTGACTGCTAATCCCCTGAATTCCTGTGCTCTGCCTTCAGCCAGAGTCCTGCAGGGCTGTGGGGCCGTGTGGGGCACTGGAGGTTCTGGTGGAGGTTCTGGCATGTGCCCGGCCCTGATTCACTGCAATGTGTCCTGAGGCTGCTGGGACATCTCCCATCTCTCCACACAAACTCCTGTAGCGCATCTTGGGGCCAGGTGGGCTCCTACTGTTGGGCAGCCTGAAGGATCTGAGGTGTTGGTGCGATATGGGACATGTCTGTGAGCCACCGAGCATCCCCAACCAGCAGTCCTGGCTTTGCAAGGCATGGGCATGCAGGTTCTTTGAGATACAAAGAGAAAGTTTGTGGTTTCTGCCATGTGTAGAGGTCATTTCAGTGGACACCGCAGTGCCCGAGGAACATGGCTTTGCACACTGTGGTCACGTTTCTATCCTCCCACTCACTGTAAGTTTTCCTCTCCCGAAGAACCACTCTGCAGCCTTTCTTGTTAAAAAGGTAGAGCACATCCAGGAATAAATGCCTCCACTGAATAAACTTGCAACAAAGTCTGCTGGCAGCTCCGCTTTATTTTGTGTACCATCAGCAAAACTGTGTTTAATCTTGGGCTGATGCAGGAATAAAAGCGCTCTGCGGGCGCATTTCCTGAGCTGCATATTTTTGTGTCGAGCTGTATTTGCATAGCAGGGCAAGTGGCTGAGAATGCCACCCTGTAATGGAACACTCCTTCTGCAGCTCTGTTTCTGATTAGCAGGAAGGTTTTGACAGTGGTTCCCCTCGTTAGCACACACTGCAATGCTTCACCCCAGTGCTTATAAAACCTCCAAGTGCACCGAGATAAACAGATAGGCATTTGCAGATGCTGATGGTGCTGGCAAACGTTTCACAAGCTTTGTGTGACGTTTGGTTTTCATGCTGGGCTCACATTTCTCCATGCCAGAAAGACCTTTTGATGGGCAGAAAACCAGAGCAGGAGACCCGCAGCAGCTAACAACTGATATAAATATCAGTGTTTAATTCAGAGCTTGTGTTCAAGTAGTGACGTAATCTCTTATCTCCAGTGCTGCAGTCGTGTGACCCCAGACACCATTCTGAAGCCTGGTTCTCAGCCTCTGCATAACTATTTTGGTGCTTGTGAGGGTATGGGAGCTGCGTGTCGAGGCTGTTCCTGTGCCTTACTGCCCTTGTCCTGGCTGCTGGGAGGTGGTAATGCCTGCAGAGGCAGGGGGGAACCAGGCACATTTATTTCCTGATTTTGTGATTAACTCTACCGTTTTTAATGAGAACGATTTTGAGTTGCAGGCCAGTAAAATGAGAGGGCAGCAGCCAGGTGCCCACCATGTCCCACCACATCTCACCGTGTTTTACCATATCCCACCGCATCCCCCCACATCCCACTGTGTCCCACCATGTCCACAACATCCCACTACATCCTCCCATGTTCCACCACATCCTACCAAAGCCCTTCACATCACACTGCATCCCACAGTATCCACCACATCCCAACATATTCCATGGCATCCATCTTGTCCACCACATCCACCACGTCCCACAATACAGTGAGTCAGTAATTCAGTGGAGTTTCACTTCTTATGTCTTTCCTTTGGCTCGGTATGGGAACACAGCACACAGAACACTGCTTGGAACAACCCACTGCTGTGGGAGGAGAAAAGCAGATTTGTCCTGAATTGGGCAAGGAGCAGCTCTTGGCTCTGACCCCAGCAGAGAGGCTGGAGCATGTCCTGACCTCACTGATCTCCATCACTTCTCTCAACTCTGCTATCTCCTCTGCTGAGCAAAATGCCAATTTTCCTTCATCTCTCTGAATCTACTCATTGATTGTCTTTCCTCAACCTCTTTGGGTTGTGGGTTTTAATTTTTGTCTTCTGTACAGCTCTTCCTGTTTGTGACATTTACAAGATAGGGAAAGTGAAATACTCTCCCACATACCTTCTTTGTGTCTGGCAATTATGCCCAGCTCACTATAAAAGTCCCCTGGTGTTTATTATAAATATTAATGGCTTTAGTCTCATGAGGAGCCTAGGAGATAAAGAGATGCTTTATGCCTGCTTGACAAATGTGGACATGAAATGCATTTTTTAAACTCGCAGCTGTCACCTGGCATGATTGGTTTGAGATGTCAGAGCCTGGTTTCTCAGGCACATGCTGTGACCATCTCCCTGCTCCATGGGGTTTGGTGGCACCTCAGTGATGCTCAGGGGCTCTAATGAGTTATGTCCAAGGAAAGGCCAAATGGCTGGTACCATGAATGGCCATTAATGACTGTGGACATTTGCATTTAGGTAAGCTGATTAGCTTCACACAGAAGCCCTGTGCTGCTACTGCCAGGAGCAGTCTCATTGCCCTGAGGTTGTCCTTTCTCATGGTGCAGTAGCTTCTTCATTCAGTACAACTTCTTGCACCAGCTTGGATGTGATCTGGGAGGTCTGGGATGGAGTCCAGGAGACCTGTGGTGGGATATGAGTGGCCTGGGTTGAGGTCTGGGAGGTCTAAATAGGGTGTAGGAGGTCTGAGATGGACTGTGAGAGGTCTGAGATGAGATCTGGCTCTCTGGACTTCCTATCCCAGTTCCCACCAAGGCCCAGTCTCTCCTGGCCCCCAGTTCCACCACAGATGTCTCCCATCTCCTCTCATTAGCTCGCCCTGGCCCTTGCATCCAATGTTCCCAGGAGAATCTTTGCAATTTGTGTTTCTTATCTCCTGAGGACCTTTAACATTCTTCAGGTCTCGCACAGCTCTCCTGGACCTCTCCACACCCCTACACGGGTATGAGGGATTCTCATTATGGAGAGCAGCTTTCTGGTCCCTTCTAGGAAGCCATCACTTGACTTTACGCTAACATTTATGGCTAAGAGGGCTTGTCTTGTCAAACCTGTTCAATAGTTTAAACTTAAATAAACCAGACAATTCTCGCTTTCGCTGAAGGTTCACTCCATGCTGAAAACCTCATGCAGAAATAGTGTTGAGCATTTTTGATACTGGCTCCTTATTAATGCCATCTAATGAAGCAGTTTTATACACCATGCAGTGTCTGCTTTCGCTTTCAGTTAATGTTATCTACCAACAAACAAAGGATTTTTTTGAAGTTTCTTTGAGCCCTAGAGGCCTTAACTGCCTGAAGCTATTTTCCATTAAACAGGACAGGAAGAGTGACAGAGGCACTGCTTTGCACCAGTGACTAATGCCTACTTGCAAGAGTATTTACTTTATGCATGCAAAGGTGCACAGCTGAGAAAGAGCAGTGGAATAATGGAATTGGGTCATCAAGCCAAGTTTGATATCAGACGTTTTATCTTCCCGTGCAAGACAACAAAAAATGTCAATTCTGTTGACATCTGCCAGCCCCTTTTGATATCCAAGGGAGGAGGGAGAGGCGGAATGGCAGCAAAACTTCAGGCTTTGTTTTAATGAAGATTTCTGTTTGCTCCTGCAGTTGAAGTGAAAATCGAGGTTGTGATACCTGAGAAGGAGAGGAGCAAGGAGGAGATGTCACCCAACGGGAAAGCCAGCCCATTGGTTTACAAGGTCAATGGGACTGCCCGGCATTACCATCTCGAGGAGCATCCCATTGCCAGCAACCCCTACCACAACCCAAAGGATGTAGTGGAAGCGTCTGTGTGCCATGTGAAGGACCTGGAGAATGGACAGTAAGTGCCTAAAACCTTCGTAGGTAATTTTAACCCAAAACCCAAAAGAGAGCTTAGAGCCGAAACCAAGCCTTCTACCCGGTTCCTCATTTTCTTGAGGTGATAATTTAACTTAATAAATGCCATCACAGGTGAGTGGCATCAACTGCTCTTTACCCCAGTGATGTGATCTGGGGGGTCAGTGCACCATTCTGAGCTCTACACAGTGCACATGTGGCCTGATGGCTGCTGGGGTTATTGCAGCAAGGAGATGCTGGGTGCTCATGGAGACAACTTCTGCTGGCCATGTATATGGGGCATTCCTAGAAGAGTGTGCTCTGCTTTGGTGCCCTGGTGCAAGAAGGAGGTTGGAAAACTAGGGCTTAGATAAATACATTGCCTGGAAATGTGCAGTACAACAGAGCAGAAAGTTGCTGAGGAGTGTGCAAGAATCATTAAGGTTGGGAAAGATCTCTAAGATCATCGAGTTCCTTACTTACCTGGCTGTAGCAGAAAGCTCTGCAGTCAAACAGGCGGCTGCTAAAGCAAGGGCTGGAAGCTCGATCAGTCAGGAATCCAGGCTTGCACTTCAGCTGTGAGTACATTTGACTCCTGAAACCAAGCATTGCAGCAGCCTTCCCCTTGGTGGACATTTTAAATTGAGAATGGCTTTTTTTCTAATAGTGTCTATCTCAGAGTAGGAGTGTGTGAGAAGGTGCCATGGCTCATAAGCGATGGGTGAGGCCAGAGGAGGCCCTTCTTCCTCTGGAACTCAGAGGGATACTCGGGGATGCTGATTTCAAGGGCAAAAGAACAGAGTGCCCACTGTGGGGTCAGCACAGCCATGTGGCACTGGTCACCCTCTGAGTCTTTGGGACTGAGCACACGCTGAGGACTTTGCAGCTTCCTGTGTATTGCCTTTGAGATGCCAGCTCTTGTTTTTGCCTCTTTCAGATCGCACAGTTCCTTGGGTAAGTTGTAAACTCTCTCACTTATCTTATCTTATCTCCCTACGGAATTATGGTTGTCATTTAACGAGAAGCACAGGTTTTATCTGAAGTGCTGAGGAATGCAGCAGGACTTGTACTGCTCCATGCAAGTTGTGCTGACTGAAGGACATCCCAGTGCCAAGTGTCCTGCTCAGAAGTGGAGCTGCCAGCTGGGGCAGATGGCTCCCAGGGCGAGCAGAATGAACTCCCTGCCCCTGTGCTTCCCCCCACATCTGCACTTTGCTCTGGATTTATTTCATGGGGTGTCTCAGGGCTGGCAAGTGGGAGATGTCAGCATCTCTCTACAAGTACCTGAATGGAGGTTGAAACCAGGAGGGGGTCAGTCTCCTGTCTTAAGTGACAAGTGATGGGATGCCAGGAAATGGCCAAGGGGAGGTTCTGACTGGGTGTCAGAAAGAATTTCTTCATGGAGAGGATGGCCTGGCAGTGGACTGGGCTGCCCAGAGAGACAGTAGAGTCCCTGTCCCTGGAGGTATTTAGAATGGATGTGGCACTAAGGGACACGGTTTGGTGCTGGGATTCATTAGATCAGGTTGATGACTGGACTTGATGATCTTGAAGGTTTTTTCCAACCTAGATGATGTTCTGAAATGCTGCTTCCAGCAGCAATAAAATCGTTAACCACATATCTGGTAGATGAGGGCACTGCAGTAGCTTTTTTGGTTTTGCAGGCAGGGTGCATGATCAGCACAGGTATGCTCTTGCCTAGGGCAGGGCTGGTAACATCTGTGAGCCACCCAGACCTTGTGGCAGATGGGCTGGAGGAAGGGGGAGGTAGGCAGGGTGGGATTGGGCTGCAGCACGAGGTGAGGGAATGGCACTAATTCTACCATCATCTCTTTGTGCTCCTCTCCCCAGGATGCGTGAGGTGGACCTGGGCTGTGGGAAGGCACTGCTGATCAAGGAGGCTGGAGAGTTCTATGCCATGGGACACAAATGCCCCCACTATGGGGCCCCGCTGGTTAAAGGTCAGTCAGCCACTGGGATGCTGTGCTTGATCCCATCTTTGGGTTGATATAATTCCTTCGGCAGCAAAAAGACATGCCTGTGGTGTCAGTGAGGTGCCAGCAGTTCACTTTTGCCACAAACCAGCTCCTTTGAGCAGGGAGAGCCGAAGTCCAAGGCAGCAGTGCCCGGAGCAAATAACCCTGTTGCTCTGGACATGTGATTTCCTAACAGCTTGTAGACTCCATGTTGCATCAGGTCTGTTCTCAAGTAGGCCTGCTCTGAGGGATGCTCTGCCTGAGGCACAGTTTGCTCAGGCTGGGTGTATAGACCTCAGTGCAGAACACAGGAGACTGCAGGCAAGGATGTGCCACCATTGTTCTGCTTTCTGCTTCCTTTGTGCAGGGGTTTTGTCCAAAGGAAGGGTCCGCTGCCCCTGGCATGGGGCTTGTTTCAACATTGGCACTGGTGACATTGAGGACTTTCCTGGCTTGGACAGCCTGCCCAGGTTCCAGGTGAGATCTTTGTTCCTGTCAGCATGGCCTGTGTGGAAGTGTGGGCCCAACACATGGTGGCCTGTGGGCCCTCCTCACAGCTCTTCCCTGTCTTGCAAACTGCTGCTCTTTGTCACCCTCAGGTGAAGATTGAGAAGGAGAAGGTGTATATCCGAGCAAGCAAGCAGGTGAGAGGCAGAGCTGCCCCAGAAGCAAAGCCAGAGGCTGGCTCTGTGTGCTTATGGGGGATGCTGCTCTTTGGGAAGTATCTGAGCAGATGGATATGGGAGCATTCAGAATGGGGAAACCCAAAGTCTCAAGCAGCAGTCCTCTCCTCTCAGCCGTTTGACCTCATCAGCTGCATCAGAACAGTGTGTGGCAATGCAGGTCACATAGTCCATCAACTTCCTTGAATATTAGAGGCATTACGAGCTCAGTTGCAGGCTGAAGTTCCTGATAGAATTTTTGCATTTCCATTTCCCCTGCTGACTGCAGAATCACACACTGGTCCACCTGTCTTTTTTTTTTTTTTCCCAGTGCTTTGTCTCTGCATGAATTTGCCAACAGCAATGGATGTTTTTTTTCTTTTGTACCTGGAAGGGAGCAGTGCACTGGGTAATGGGAAGGCATTTGGTTGAGCATCGGTTTGGAGTCCTCACTGGGTGCAAGGATGTGGGTGTTCCTGGTTGGTCCCCAGTTCCTGCCTGGCTAATGACTGTTCTTCTTCTTGTTGGTGGCATAGGCTCTTCAGACACAGAGGAGGACGAAGATGATGGCAAAGTGCATCTCCTTGAGCAACTACAACCTGAGCAGTACCAACGTGCTGATCATCGGTGCAGGTATCGAGCGGCACGTTCTGGGGCAGCACTGCGTGTCCCTTCCCAGCATGGGTGTCAGAACAGCAGGATGTCCAGGCTGGTTTAAGTAATATGTCTCATATAACCAAATGTGGAACTCCAAACTGAAGAGAAATGCCTGAGAGAAGGCAGTCTGGAGGTACCCCACGTAGTTGTGCTGACATGATGTGTTGTAGGTAAGGCGTACAGCTTGCAGCAGGATACTAAACCAACATGCAATTAGCAAGTTCTAGAAGTCCAGGAACTTGAAAGTCAAAGAGGAGCTGCAATCTCAAGCACATTTTCCATTCCTTGTGCTTATACTGTTTGTTGGTAAGAGCTGGAGTGTGACTCCCATTGGCCAAGGGCAGCTGAGATCTCCAGAGAGCATGGGACGGCTGTGGATAAATGGTCATCCAGATCCTGAGCCAAGTTGCTCAAGAAGTGATGGTCGTTGTTGCTGAAAGAACTTTCTCAGCCTTGACCAGCTATGCTGACAGCTCTTTCTAAAGGCCGAGGTCTGTTCTGGTAAGCAGGAAAGGAGATCTCAAAGGTAGCTGAGTGGGAAGAGAATACCACAGTCCGTTGCATTGGGTTGCTGAAGGCTGCCCACTGCTGCACTGCACTGCTGGGCTCGGAAATATACCCCACTGACCCTGTGGAAATCCATGTGGGTTTGAATGAGTTTTTTTCTACCTGAATTTGTAGGAGCAAAGGATTCAGGCCATCAGACACAACGTATGCTTGGCTGGTGTGGGTCTTCCTTCTTCCTTAGGTGCAGCAGGGTTAGTCTGTGCAGAGACGTTGCGCCAGGAGGGTTTCTCAGACAGGATTGTAATGTGCACGATGGACAGACACTTGCCCTACGACAGACCGAAGCTCAGCAAGGTTTGTACCACCTTGAGTACGAGTCTCAAAGAATTGCACTTTGATATTTCTACTCATTGCACAGTTATGTTTCTTCTTAATTCATCCTGAAAGATGGAACACAAAAGGAGAGTTGTACAGACTGTGCAAGGGATCACCAGCACGGGATCTACCAGCAGCCATCCTGGCCTGCTCATTCCTGTATGGATCCTCCTATGGTGTTCCTCAATCAGAATCCTCAGAGGAATGAAATGGGGCTTGTAAACAAATGGTGTAATCTACTGGGATTTTTATTTCTTTACGTGTTTCTTATCCTTGTTGTAATTGTTGTATAAAAATGATTGGTATAGACAAGTAATGCTCCTTGCTATCATTGTTATGAGCATTGCTTGTCATTGTGACTTGATAATTCGATCTCCATGCAGAGTTCACTTTTTTTCTGACATACATTCCATTTTGAATGCCAGTTTGTAGAGACAAGGCTGATCTTCTGATCCCATTTTTATTTCTGACCAAGGCTTTGCTTGATACCAGACAACAACTCAGTTTTAACAGCAAGGTCTTGAAGCTGGAATTCAAAGAAGAGCAGGCAGTGTGTGTATTCCCTTTTATGTCAGGGATACTTACCTAAGGGAGCTGATACTCAGCAATCAGAGCTTCTAACTCAGCTTGCAGCCCCCAAACAAAGCCTTTGCCAAAGGAATGCAAAGATACACGTGGCTTTTTAAGAGCACTGGAAAGATCCATTAGAGGAGTAGCATGTAAAGCTGTATGCTGCAGGCTTCTTGCCTCCTGAAGCTGCATCATTGCCCTTCCTCTTGCTGAATGTCTGTTATCAGTCCATTCTAAGCTTCCTCACACTGCTCCCCTCTGTGCCCTTTGGACAATTGGTGTCCAGCACTGGAGAGCAGCAAAGCCCTCAGTGCCTCTGCACTGCTCCACGCTGCCCTGCTCACACACCAGCATGGCAACCTGTGCTCCCAAGCCGTGGGGTCAGAAGTTCCTCTCTTAGTAAACACCAAATGTTTAAAGAATGTGCAGTAAAACCCGTGTGACCCTGCACCTGCCTCAAGACCGAAGATACAGATTTCTTCTGAGTACACAGATACCTGAAGTCATGGGAAGGGAGTGCCCCCTGATCCCAACCACGTAGAGATGAAGGACTTTGCACGTCCATCCCTGGTATGCAGCTGGTGCTAAGGGTGCAGGTGATGAAGCCTTTGGTTCGTGGAGGAAATCTCTTCAACAAATGCCATAAGGACTGATTTCGGATCATAGAGTCGTGGAGGCACGGGATGGCTTGAGTTGGGAGTGACCTCGTGCTGGGAGCAGGCGATGCTCTGCTTGCTTTTTCAACTCACAGCAATTGACAGAAAAACATGCTCTTTTGTTTTTTTTGGTAGTCCATGGATTCCCACCCAGAGCAGATTGCCCTGCGCCCCAAGGAGTTCTTCCGCACGTACGACATCGAAGTCCTGACAGAAATGCAGGTATGGAGAGTCCCACTCACACACTGTGGTCTCACCTGCTGACTCCTGATACAGAAATGCTGAATCTCCCTCATGCCCTGGGCTGTTCTGTGCCTCATAGCTCAGTCTGTGGTTGTTCAGAACCAGAATGAATGCAGTTCTCCCCTGGGCGAACTCCACATTGATTGTCATTTCTTACCTGCCATTTGCTGAGCATCCTTGCAGGGATTTGGGGTGACCAAATGGCTTCTGATCAGGACAGTCTGCCTGCAAGCACCCAGAAAGTGATAAAGTAAACATTTTCTCCTGCTATTTTATTTATTCTGGGAGATCTTCAAGGATTTGTAAAAGTCAACTAGAATGATAGAAGGTCTGGGTTGGCTGAGCTGCTGATAGGAACCAAACCTTTAAAACAAGAGAACTACTCAAAAATTAAAAATTAAAACCTATGTTATGGGTAGAACAGAGGCAGCAGAAGTTCTCTGCAGAGTTCTGCAGAGAAAGAGGCCAGATGGTAGTTTGTTAGACTGTCCAGGCCAGGCAGAGCATCAGCATTCTCTCGAGGATCTGTCATTCACAGTGCAGATGTTGGCTTTTCAGAGAGGTTCACAGAGAAGTAATCCTCAGCCTGGAGTGTGCTACCATCACTGTTACTCCATAACCGTGTCCCTGAGACATGGATGGGCAGGCTCTGGCTCAGCATGTGGCATCTCAGGGGTTATCTAAGATTTCATCCCTTAACATGATTTAGAAATGATTTCAGGCTGCGGCTGTGGATATCAAGAACAAGACGGCTGTGTTCAAGGATGGATTTAAGATGGAGTACAACAAACTGCTGATAGCGACTGGAAACACGTAAGCCACAGAGAAACATTTCAAAGATCATGAGAAACTGTTGCATCTGAGAAGCTGAGGAGCTTGTGCTTGAGGATGAGGGGTCAAACGTGGCACTTCAGTTCAGAAACCAAATTCGTTTGCAGAAATGTTTGCAGAGAAGGCAACAAACACATGTTGGGTAGTCTGTATGTCTCTCTCTCTAGCTTTGTTGTCTCTAGCTCAGCCAAAGCTGAGGATCAAATAATACATCCACTGGAATTTCCACCTTTCATTTCTGGCCGACCTTAAAATCTTTTGGGTCCTGTGCCTGGCTTCCTTGCAAACAAGTGCTGCTGCCACATCAGTTGGTAGGCTGACACTGGGCAATGCAGCACTGCAGCCACATGCACCCACCACCTATGGAGGTGCATAAGCCTTTGGAAATAATTTCAACATCCTCACATGCGAGCTCTGAGTACACTGGGTGTTTTTAATGTACCTGAATTATTTAGGATCTTCATTCCCATTTCCAGATTAAGTCGTGTATGCAAGGGCCGGATATTTAAAAATGCATATGCCTCAGTAACTGCATGGGGATGGCAGGATTAAACTGCTACCGAAGCCACATCTGCACAGGCTTATAAAACCTTTAAAATCTGGCTCCAAAGCTTCTGCTGAAGGACAGAGATGGCAGTGTCCCATTGGGCCTTTGAAAAAATTTACTGCATGACAGCAGTTAAACTTAGAATCACAAAGCAGGAACCATCCTGCATCGTGCTCCACTTCTCTATGCAGAGTTTATCCTAGCCCTGTAGGGTTGTCCCACCAAACAGTTGCATGAGGGCTGTTTCTGGGGCTGAGGGCTCTTGCCACTGTCCTCCAGAGTTCAGGTTTTGCCTGTTATCTCTCCAGCCCGGGTGATTTGCAGAGAAATGTGGCAGAATGTGGCGTTTTGGCTGTGTCTGATTGCCTTGTCCTGGTGGGCTGCTGATAGCTAGGTCAAGGGGTCTGTAGGATCCCAGCCCAGATAGCCCTCCATTTGTGTTTCCAGGCCCAAAGCTCTCAGCTGTAAGGGCAAGGAAGTGGAAAACGTTTTCAACATCCGGACGCCAGAAGACGCGAACCGCGTGGTGAAGTTGGCCACCAGCAAGAACGTGGTGATAGTGGGAGCTTCCTTCCTTGGTGAGCTCCTGATTTTGAATGGGGTTTGAGAGACCAATTGTAGATCATCAAAGAGAAGTTTCCAAAAACTTCCGTAGAGAGAAAATGTATTGCAGAAGCTTTCCATGCAATCACCAGCTCCAAAATTGGTCAACAAAAAAAGAAGACAAAATGCTGAGGTCACAGGGGTTGTTTTCACCCAGTAGCTCCTTACTTCTAAAACATTCTCAGCCATGAGGAATGTTTCTTTCTTCCTTCATCCAGGTCCATTACCAAATGGTTCCTGTGGCACGCTGGGACTTCATTAGGGCCTATTGCTTCTTTTGACCCCTAAAGCCCTCCCATGGCTTCCACCTCTAGGAATAAATTAATGTGAATGATAAATCCCATGTGATGCTCAATGGTTCTGTCAAAGTGGCGTGACCCAAGTCTGGGTGTGGGGACAGCACTGGACCACTGGGATGTGCTTGTGTTCCCCAGGGATGGAGGTGGCTGCCTACCTGACGGAGAGGGCCCACTCGGTGTCTGTGGTGGAGCTGGAGGAGGTCCCATTCAAGAAGTTCTTTGGGGAGAGAGTTGGTCGTGCTGTCATGAAGGTGACTTTGCTTTCCTGTCCTGGCTTTGGTTTTGGTGAAGTGAGTGGGTTCTGCTGGTTTCAGTAACTTGTGGGTGCAGTTGTTTGACGAGTGGATTTATTGATGGAGCCATGAAGGTGCTCCACAGTGCAAGCCCTCTAAAGACTGGGCTGGGAGCCTCTCTGGGGTGCGCATGGGTGAGGATGCAGTGCAGGCCTGCAGTGCAGGCATGGGACCCCACACTGGGATGGGGCAGGGGGGGCTGAGGTGCACCCACTCTTCCCACAGATGTTCGAGAGCCACAGGGTGAAGTTCTACATGCAGACTGAGGTGTCGGAGCTCCGGGAGCAGGAGGGCAAGGTATGGTGTGGCAGAGGGTGAGAGACAAGAGGTGGCCTCAGCCCCACCGTATCACCCCATGGGTCTGCTGTCTTCTTCAGGTCTGGGTTTATGCACTCTCTTTCCTGGCCCCTGAAATTTCTACTTCTGGGCTTAGCCCACAGGAGGAAGCGTGCTTCAGCTATGGTGTTTGGGGTGGTAACATTGCTTTGAGATCCTGGAGGGGCAGAGGGGCCATCAAGGGTAACCCTGCTGGGACACTTCCTGGTTCAAGCTTTAACCCTGTCCCTAGAAAGCACTGCAGGACTCCCTCAGAGGACCCCAAAACTCATCCTGTTACCATTACGAGGGATTATACTCAATTAGCATGTCAGAAATGAAGTGAGGTGCTAGCTTAGCTTGCTGCTGCCATAGGGTTTTACTTTGTTGACTCTGAAATAACTGCACTTTCCCCCTCTCTCCTGTAAAGCTGAAGGAGGTGGTGCTGAAGAGTGGGAAGGTCCTGCGCGCAGACGTTTGTGTCGTTGGCATAGGTAAGGGGCCATTGCTGAGAGTACATTACGAGGTCTTTGGAGAACATGGGCCACGCTGGGAACCCTCTGCAGCATTAGAGCAAGATGAGGAGCTCTGGTAGTATTCTAGGGTACTCTAGAGAACACTAGGTGGCCCTGGGAAGTCTTCAGGGTACCCTGGGAAGCTTCTTGGCTACCCTAGAGCACACTGAGGGCTGCCAGGCCCATCAAGCCTGTGGTGGTTTGCTCTGCTAGTGGTGGAAATGGAACTGGAGGACCATAAGAAGAGGGTATTTTTCTCCTTAACGCTCATGGAGAGAAAGGTCCTTATCTGAATGTAACTTTTCTACGCTTTGCAAATGGGACCAATCGCGGGATTCGTATTTCATTCTCCAGGGGTGTTGCTTTATTGACTGCTCCACAACAGAGCAATGTGTGGAGTCTAGAGGAAAAAAGGCCCTTTGCTTTCTCCCACAGGTGCAGTGCCAGCGACGGGATTTCTCAAGCAGAGTGGCATCAACATTGACTCCAAAGGCTTCATCGTGGTCAACAAGGTGAGCATGGTGGTGAAGCCAGATCCTCCAAGCTAGACTTGCCTTGGGCTCTGAGCCACCAGCATGGGGACAGCCTGTCCCTAGGTGCTCATGGAGATTATGGATACTGCCATGTGTGAGGTTTGCAAAGCCCAGCCATCTTGGTGCTGTGGGTGTCCACATCTGCACAGCTCCCACCCCTGGGGACCTTGAACAATTCCCTGCTGGCTGAAAATCCCACCCAGGTGTCCTTCTGCTTCCTCCCATCAGATGATGCAGACCAACATCCCTGGAGTGTTTGCAGCTGGTGATGCTGTCACGTTCCCACTGGCCTTGAGGAACAATAAGAAAGTGAATGTCCCCCACTGGCAGATGGCCCACATGCATGGTAGGTGCATCTGAGTGCCTTCGCTTTGCACAACAAACTGCTTGCAGGAATGAACCTTCTGCATGTCCACAGGAAATTTCCAACCCTTTAGGAAGAGAATGAGACAACTGAGCGCAGGGAAACGGAGCAGTTGTAGGAAACTCTGGGAAAAATATATTTTCTCCTGTCCCCATGCTTGCTTAGGCTCAGAGATTCTTCACTTTGCTGTTTCTTGTCTTCCAGGCCGTATTGCAGCACTGAATATGCTGGCCCACGGCACGGAGATCAGCACAGTCCCCTATTTGTGGACTGCAATGTTTGGGAAAAGCATTCGATATGCAGGTGAGGGACTGAGACTGTTGTGGAGTCTGTGCTGGTGGAACTGTTTTGGGACACAGAAGTCACAAAAGTCACCACCTTGCAGTGCCAATTCCAGCCCCCTCAGCTGGCTCAGGGTGATGTGCAGGGACACCTCTTGCTTAGCAAGGCATGAAGGGCCTTGTGGACGTGGAAAGTCTCCCTGAACATGTGTGTATTTGAGCAAGCATGGATGATTCTTCATCCCGCTGCCTTCCAATGCCCATCTCTCAGTGACTGTGGGATGGCTGCCTCTAGTGTAGCTCTGGGTTAAAACACTTTTTGCTAGGGCCAGAGCTGTATCCAGAGGAAAGAAGTGAAAACCAACCTTTAATTCCATGGTCAAACTAAGTAAATGACAAGCAGAGCAAGATGTTTGCTGTGGAACAGTCTTCTCTTAGGAACAGTGCTTCTCCCACTCATAATAATTTCATCTTTCAGGCCACGGGGAAGGATTTGATGATGTTGTCATTCAAGGGGACTTGGATGAACTGAAGTTCGTTGCATTTTATACCAAGTAAGTGTTTCTCCTTTCTCCTCTCCGTGTCCATTTGGCTCAGCTTGTTCTGCTAGGCTGGAAATTATTTTTGCTAGAGCTTCTTCCAGCCAGTTCTGCTCCAATCTGGACACTGAGGTTGCAGGGCATTAATAAATTGCAAGTACAAATGCATTAGTGCCAGGCACTAGAGAAGCAACGTGCTGAGTATTTCTCTCCAGCATACAGTCTTCTTGGAAGCTTCTTCCCACCCTTCCTTTCCATCCTAGGGCGCAACAGAGGCAGCGATTTATCCCAACCCTAATTAGAAAGGAAATGCCAGAGCACTTTAATAAAACATCTGTGGAGCTCTTTCAAGAGCCAGGTGAATAATCCCCCATGGTGCAGGGCCTCACGCTGGGTCTGCGGGGCGGGCGCTGAGCGCTGCCTTCTTCTGCCACCCAGGAGGGGCCCCAGGAGATGGCTTTGGTGTGGCAGGACGGCACCGTGCGCCGAGAGCTGGAGGTACTGAGGGGTCCAGCGGGCTTCTCTCAGCCACAGCCCCACCTCTGCCTCTGCCAGAGGTGACTGGGAGCGTTTCTTTCCTCCTTTCCTTGCCGTTTGGTGATAGTCCTGCTACTGGTGCTAACGCTTTTGGATGAGGATGCTGTCCCCAGGTGGCCGTCTCCTGTTTCCCATGTCTACCTGTTGGCTTAGACTCTTTTTCTGGTGTGTGCTGGTTCTTGCATGAAACGCTGGTGGTGCCGTTGCTGGAGCCTGCCCTGAGCATCAGCTTTCACAATAGAACTCTTTTCTTTTCCAGAGTTTGAAGAACAAAACAGTTTATCCCCATTCAGTGCTGAGGGTGAGCTGCTGAGGGGTCAGCCTGGGGCTGTATGCAAAGGACAGGGTGCTCTACAGTTGTCTTCAAGAGACACCACAGCACCTTTGCCAGAGCAGACCGATGTTATCCCAGTCTGTAACTCCCTGGAGCTCTTGGGAGACCCAGTGAGCAGCTGTGGTTGCCTTCCTCGTGGCACCCCATTTCCACTGTGCTGAGCCCTACAGAAGAAGGGAAGGCCATGTGCAGATGGTGCTCATCCCCAGCAGTCTACTGCCCATAGGCCAAGACTTCTGATTGCTCCCCGTTCCTGCTGCAGGGAGCGTGCCCTTATGGCCTCAAAAGACCTCTTGAAAAACAGGGACTCCTCCTGGCCTCAAAGAAAACGTTTCAAAGCCAGTGCTGATGTGAGGTGCTCCAGTTCACTACTGCCTGCACGTTATTTTGCAGAAGGACCACCTGCCCCTTGTCTTGCTGATGGAAATGGTTGCCTGTGTCGGTGCACAGCAGCATCTCACAGTGGGGAGAGAACCTGCTGGATCAGCTGTCAGTGCAGGGTCCCACAGCACCTAAATTCATTGTGTTCCAGCAGATACTTCCAATCCAGGGTGCTCTTCTTGGGGGCTATATTGGATATTAGTGTTCTTCTGAGGGAGGTGAACCAGTGGGCACGGAGGTGATGAGTGGATGGGTGGTAGGACTGGATGGTCTTGTTTTTTTCCAACCTCAGCTTGCAGTTGTGCAGAGGACAGAGTGCAGTTTAAAACAGCACCCAGCCTAAGATTTGCTGGCTCCTTGCATGGCTCTTGCCATTTGGTGCATGTGTGAATGGATAAAACATGGAATGAGCTGTGGGAAAGCTCCAGTGAATCTGGAGCAGATTCTGGGCTCCCAGTCTGGACAGGGAAGCTGTGGTGGTGTTTCCCTGTGGCAGTGAACTGATCCTGGTTTGTTGGGTGCCTCCACACTTCAGCTTCCTGAGCAGCGTCTCCAGTGTTTAATATCTCACTCATGCACCTTCCCTGACCTTTACATTATTTATTCTGTTACTAATTGTGAGTCAGACTTTGAAGATTTATGCTCAGGCTGACTCCTGCAAATCTCAGAGCAGAGGAACCCTTCTCCTTTGCTTTGTGACCTTTACCCGAAGCTCATCTGGTGTTTTTTTACACCTTTTCTTCCTCTTCATTCATTTCCCATTCACCTTTTGATCTCACGTTGTACCACCAGTACTGGGACTAAGGGCAGGTGATGGTCAGCCAGACTGGGACACACTGCTCCACCATCAGCCCCATCTCTTCTGGTGTTACTCCGTGGGCCAAGGTGCCCCTGGGTGCCCAGGGTTCCACCCCTGGGCAGTGGCACAGAGGCAGCTCTAGGCACCCTGCTGAGCATCACCAGGCCAATACACAAACTTCTGTGAGACCACAGTGGGGTCAACCAGCTCCAAGCCCTCTTCTGTCCTTGTCCCATACCGTAGTCGCTGCTCACACCTCAGAGCAGGTCCCATTTTCCTTTGCTCCCTGCCTCTCTCCAGCATGTTGCTTCTGGGTGATGGAGATGTCCCTGTTGGGGCTGCCCTGACCTCTCTGCTCTCCGGCCCTAGGAGTGACGAGGTGGTGGCTGTGGCCAGCATGAACTACGACCCCATTGTTTCCAAGGTGGCCGAGGTCCTGGCTGCTGGCAGGGCCATCCGAAAGCGTGACGTGGAGTAAGTAGATGTGCTGTGCCAAGAGCTGGGCTGGGGAGGAGCCTGCAGAGGGCCGCCTAACCCTGAATGTCTTTTCTCTCTCTGTCTCCTGCTGCATCTGCACCTTTTAGGCTGTTTGTCCGTCACGGCAAGTACGTTCAGTTTTGGGTCCTGGATCTGTGTGGGGTATTGCAGGTGTGCCACATCTCCAACTCCTGCACGGAGATGCTGATGATGGCCGTGTGCTTGTATTGCAACTCAAACCTGCTTGAACTGTTTTGCATGGGGTGAAAGTGCTGGCAGAGGAAGGGGTGCTGCACAGCTTGGAAAGCTCACAGTGCTGCTCGTTTTTTGTCTTCATAGAACTGGAGATATGTCCTGGCTAACGGGAAAAGGCTCCTAACAGACATGGCTGCAACCTCCTGATACTGCTCTGGCCTCGAGGAGATGGGGATGGCTGCAGAGCTCCACGGCACGATGCAAATAATGCCCCCGAGTCATCTTCCCTTGAGATTTGGCCAAACCCAGCCTTTTTCACCAAGCAGTCACCTTCCCAGCAGCTCTGTGCATGCAAACCGCTGCCAGCTCTCCTGGGTGTGGGGTCAGTGGGTGGAATCCCCACTGCAAAGTCAAGGAAACAGACCCTGGGGGAGCAGGGTTGGCACCAGCATGGCTGGCAAGGAGCTGCAGACTGCTGCCATGGGGCCCACGGTGCTGGTGGGTGCCACATCCATGCTCTCCAAGCGGCACAACAAGAGCTCCAAGCACATCCCTTCACCTTATGAACAGCATGAGTGCCTTTTGTTGTTCTCTGTAGCCAGTACATGCTCTCAAGCACATTGCTCCTTCCTAGATCCTCTTTCCTCCACATGGAGCCCAGCATCTGCACCTTCTCCTTAATGGTAATGGAAAGATTGACATTGCTGCTGCCATGCTACTGCAGGCAGAACAGCTGGAGGAGTATTTCTGGCTGTTTGCTGCCCTTAGTCATTTACTCTTCCTGTCTCCTGATGGCAGAGCTACATATCTCATCTCAACTGGCAGAGTCAGTGCTCTGTGGCCATGCTTGCTGCTCCTGGCTGGCAGAAGGGCCCCAGTTCTTGCTCAGGAGTGGAGGTGGCCAGATCAGATCCCTGTGTTTGTCCACCCAGCAGAGCCAGGTGTGAGATTCCCCCATGGACAGCATCCAGTTCTGTCCTTTGGGAGCTTTGTTCCCCATCTGTCATTGCATTACCCTCAGCCCAAAGCCAGAAAATTGTTATTTTCAGTTTGATTCATCCCCCCCTTATGAACGAAAGCAGTGCTCCTATTGTGATCCAGACCCTTTCTGCTCCCTTCCAAGCCCAGCAGGTTGGGCAGATGGTGCCTGCACCTCCTGTGCAGGATTCCCTTGGTGTCCCATGTCCTGCTCATCTTTATCTCCAAACTTTCAGATCTTTGCTCAGGTGGCAACATCAGCAGTCACACCTTCTCTTGGCCCCTTCTGCTTTCACTGCCAGGTTTTTCCCAGGCAGTGTGACCAGTGGTGGCTGTAGGCAGGGATGTGGGCACAGTGCCCAGCTGCTGCTTTGGATCCATGGGCAGCTGTGGCTTTGCATCACATATCTTGCTGCTGGGGTGGTCAGACGCCATCCAGCAGCACTGGGATCGTTTACCTGTTATTGCTCTGCTCCTTCTTTCCTCACTGCCCCGGCACAGCAGCTCTGTGTGCCCCCCAGCAGAGCCTGGCTGACCTTTTCCAAAGCACCACCTTTCTGCTCACCCAGAGGCACCATCACTGAAGTGCTCCCACACAGATGTGCAGTGTTTTGCTTTTCAGGAAAAGCATGTCCTGTCCACGGATGGCCAAATAGACCAGCAGGACCTCATGGGCTTTTCTACTGGTTTATCAGCCTTCCTTAGTGCACTGTCCTAACCTAGTGACAGACCAACACTCAGAGCATGCTCTATTTATTCCATACCTTATAACATTGCCTGGGATATCCACGTAGCATAGGGTTTTTCCCCAAAAGAGAGTCCTTCGTGGGACCTCCTAGCACTCCTCCTTCTTCCCAGCAGCCTGTGTGATGTACTCCACAGCTTAGCTTTAAGCAAGTAGAAAAATCCTTTTTATTTGGTTTCTCGTGTCCCTTACCAGGGTCTGGCTCTTAAGAAATGGCCTCAATAGCAGCAGCCAGACCAGGCACTGGCAGCAGCTGCTGCCCGAGGCACCTGCTGGGATGGGGTGAAGGCTGAAGAGCACAAGGAGAACCATTGGGGGCCCACACCTGTGTGAGGACCCACACATCCACGATGGAGACCACCTGCTCCAAGGGGGGCAAAAAGCTCCATGGGCCTGGGGACTTGAGGACTCGTTTTTTGGCAACGTCACCTCGATGCCAACGTGGAGATGGTGGAGCACTTCTGCTGCGGTGTCCCTTCTGCGATGGGGCACATCCACATCCGTCAGGGAATTTTAAGCAATAACGATGCTGATACAATGCAGCGGGGAGAGGGTGCAATGGGGCAGAGTGCTGCGTGGAGGGGATGGTGGTGACAGAGGACGGCCACCACCTGCTGCTGCCCCACTGCTGGAAATGCTCTGTACCCTTGGGCTCAGTGTCTGGGAGCTCTCACTGTGGCAATAAAGGCCCTTCCCCAGCAGCTGTGTAACGTGAGAGCCAATGGCTGCCCGGCCCCACGCATTACCCTGAGCAGTAGCTGCCTTAATTCCCCTCCTGCTAATCCCAGCTTTGCTGGCAGCCATGGCTGCACACACACCACTGCCCCCCAACCTGCGCCGGGGGCTGACGGCCTTCAGCGGCGCCCTGTTCACCACCAACAAGACATGGGACAGCAGCACTGCTCACCTCTACCATCCAGGTACCCCGGGCAGTTTGACTCCTGCAGCCGTGGGTCCCCTGACCCTCAGCAATGGCTGACAGCAGACATCAGTGCTGTTGCACTGGGCTGGGATGCAGGGGAGGGATGATGGCAGTACCGGGGGTCCTCCCCAGCCCCTGCTTTTCTCTGCCCAGTGCACGAGGTGCTGGCCAGCCTGCCCCTCCAGGTGATGCTCTACTTCAACGTCTGCTACTTCCCCTGCTGGTGCCTGGCTGAGGGCACGATGCTACAGCTGAAGGTACCCTTAGCTTTCCAACAGGGAAGGAAGGCTACACTGGGAGGGCAGAGGGAGTAGGGCTGGGGACCAGCATGGGGCTGGCAGGGACCAGGCTGTGCCCTGTTGCAGTACAACCTGCTGCCCCGCTACTACCAGTTCCTCCTGCTCTCTGCCTTCCTCATCCTCACAATGGCCGAAGGAGCCCGGCTCTACCTGGGCTACATTGGGAACCTGCAGGAGAAGGTAAGGGCTGGCCCCCTGCTCCATGCTGGATGTCCCCTCCACCCAGGGTCTGAGAGCCCTTCACCTCCCTTCCTCCTTGAGTGCCAATTCACTGAATCACACGGAATCACAGAAAGACCAGGGTTTAAAGGGACCTCAAGGATCATGAATCTCCAACCCCCCTGCCGCAGGCAGGGCCACCAACCTCCCCATTTAATAGCAGACTGGGCTGCCAGGGCCCCATCCAATCTGGCCTTGAACACCTCCAGGGATGGGGCATCCATGACCTCTCTGGGCAGCTGTTCCAGCACCTCTCCACTCTCTCCGTAAAGAACTTCCCCCTGACATCCAATTCAGGATGCTCCAGGAGGTTCAGCCCCTGCAGAGGTGCCCCCCACATACCAAGGTTTCCCATACATCCTCACCAGCCTCTGCCCATCCAGGTGCCTGAGCTTGCTGGCTTCCTCCTTCTCTCCATCCTGATCCAGCTGCCCCTCCTGCTGTTCCTGCTCACGGACCACCTCACCATCCGCCTGCCGCTGGAGCTGGCCGTGCACAGCCTTCTCCTGGCCTTCCTCATCTGTGAGGTGGTGGCTGCCTTCCTGGCACTGCGGACAATGAGCAGGCAGCTGGCAGCTCAGTTCTACCTGCGGCAGTTCAAGGTGGGCAGGCAGGGTGATGCTGTGGGTCACGATCCACCCCACTGAGCCCAACAACATTAAACAGCACCAGCTCCCAACGCGCTTCTGAGCACTCTTTTCTGAGCCAGGCAGCTCTGGGGCTCGTGGGGTTTTCCCTGAGCTCTGCACCAATAAAGGGGTACACGTCCATCTTGATTCCCGGGAGGGCAGAGTTGGGCTGTGCAGCTCAGTGCTTGCAGGATGCAGGTGCACTTTGTGCGACGGTGCAAAGGATGCAGAGCTCCAAGGGAAAGAGCATGGCCTGAGCACCTCCCACTTTCTGAACAGCTTTATTTCAGTGCATCCCTGCTTTTCACAGGGCCAAGTGGGAAGAGAAGAAGCGCAAAGTGCTTTAAGCCTGTTGTGCCGAGCACGGACTGACCCCATCCCAGTGAGCCCCAGCTCCAGCAGCAGCTCTGCAGCAAGGCCCTGGAGCTGCATGTTGTGTCAGGAGGACTCTCCATATACTCTCTATGTACCAAGGACTTCTGCTGATGCTGGCACTCCTTCAGAAGTGCAGCACCCAGCCCCAGTGCTCGGCCGGAATTGGGCCACCTCCTGCAGGGTCAAAGCTGTGCCCCATCACATCTACTTGCAGGTCACTCCAGTGTGCATTGCTGAGCATCTCCCAGGTCCTGGCCAGCCCTCTCCCCCTCAGCTGCTGCTTCTTTCTTACCTTTGGGAGGTTTTGCCTGCAAAATGAACAGACATTTGCAACAGTCCAGGGGATGCCCAGATCCTGCCCTGCTCTGCCCGTTCCCATGCTAACAGTTCCATTCCTTAAGGTTGACTTGCAATTCAGGTTGGAAAAAGGCCAAATGCATTTCCCCCAGTAGGATGGTGGAGCCCTGGGACACTTCCCCAGGGAACCAGAAAGCCTTGGAAGCTGCCAACAGTCTGTCTGAGAAAGCTAAAGATGCCCTGAGTGAGGGCTGGCAGCAGACCTGCTCTGATGGGGAATGAGAGGGTTCTGGAAGGGCTCCCAGTCCACCTGGGCAGAGCCAAGCAGGCATCACGCACAGCAAGAAAATCTACAGCATCAACATTGACACAGCTTCCAGATCTGCTGAACTGAGTTACAATCAAAGGGCAAAAAGCAATGAAATCAGCTCACAAAACCTCAGCTCTCCCAGGTGGTCCCACAGCCCATCCTCACCTCCTCAAATTTCTCTTTCCAATAGAGGTCAGCCTTCGCATCCAGGTAGAGCAGAACCAGGTCACAGACCATGGTGGCCTAGAGAGGGGACAAATGGAGCAGAGCTGGGGAATGCTGTGGGTCAGGGCTGGCAAAGGAGAGAGCCACAGTCATAGCCATGCAAGGGATAGGGACGTGTGGGGGAAACGGGGGCTGGTGGGGGACCCCATTACCAGGTCAATGGCAGCAAATGCCAGGCATGCTACACTGGGCTGCACATCACGCTTCCTGAAGCTAGGAAGCTGCAGATAGGCAGCGGATCATAGCCCATGGATCAGAGGAAAAGAGCATCTTCAGTACTCACGGTTCCAAAGAACGCGATGCCGGTGCCGAAGCTGACAGCAGCGGGAATTATACCGAATTTCCCAGCCTGAGGAAAACAAGGGGTGGAGGAGAGAAGGCAGAGAGCAGAGAGAGGGCCCACAGGGAAGCTGTGGGGCTGCAGGAGGAGCGCTGCAGGCAGCGACAAGGAAGGAGGGTTCAGGGACACGCTACCTGGCCATGCACAGAGATGTCAAAGCGGATGCCATAGAGCTTCAGCAGGCTGCGGTAGTGCTGCCTCTGCAAGTCCCAGTAGTAGGAGGCCGTTCTGCAGAGGCACACAGGGCTCAGCCACACATCCCTGCACTCAGTCGGGCTCAGCACAGGCATGGCTGGCTTTGCGGGTCCCATCTGCCCTGCTGCTCCTTTCAGGGAAAGGGAGATTCCAAGTGCCAGCAGTGCGCCCACCCCAGTGCCCTCACCTGAAGTTGTACCTCCTGTCCAGCAGGATGAAGGAATAGCGTGGCTGGCAGTGGGCAGCAGGCTGGTCCAGGTCGCAGTCCCACTCAATGCGCACGCTGATGCTTCCTCCCTGCGGCGCACCAACACACGTTACAGAGATGTCAGAGAATCACAGCACGGTTGGGTTCAAAGGGACCTTAATGCCCCCCAGCCCCAACCTCTGCCCTGGGTCGGTTGCCTCCCAGCAGATCAGGCTGCTCAGGGCCCATCCAGCCTGGCCTCCTTTGGGGAATTAGAAGTCATCTTTCATGCTTGAAAAGAAAAAGAAGCAAATACCAGCAGTGCGAGGGACCCAAAGGTCTCCCCAGCCGCTTCCACCATGTCACGGACACGGAACACAGGGCAGGAAGGGCTGAAAAAGGGATCGTAGATGCAGGTCTTGAAATAGGTGGGGTCGTTGGTCTGCAGCGTGTTGCCCCTGAAACAGGAGAAGGAGAGACAGAGGGGTGGTACGCAGCCCTTGGGATGAGCTGAGTGTAGAAGCTGGGCCGGGCAGCACACACTGTGGGCTGGAGGGTGTCATGCTTACTTGGAGAAGTTAAATTTGGTGAAGTTGACAGTATTTTTTATAAAAAGAGTGAAATTCTCTGCCTCAGCCAGAAGAGGTTTCCTGCAAAACAACAAAGCCCCGCGATTTGGGCTACATTGGCAATGACAAAGGACCAAGAATCACGGAACCATTAAGGTTGGGAAAGACCTCTAAAGTCATCTTACGCCTGCCTACCACCACCGCTGCCCACTAACCACATCCCTCAGTGCCAGAACACCTGGGGGGACCGTCCCCATCCCTGTGCTGTACCTGGGCAGGGTGTCATTCTCCACGGGGCACCAGCCAAAGATCTCACAGGTGGAATGGGTGCTGTTGAACATCACACATTTCCCAGTCTTAATCCCTAGAAAGGAGACAACGCGAATGGCGCCCTGCCATTTTAAGGCAGTCTGCAGGATTTATTGCCAAAGGGCGCTGAAAGTGGGCAATGAGGCATTGCTATGGAGCTGGAATTGAATGATTTTAGTCTATTTTTTAAGCAAAAAACGCAGTACCATTGCCATGAACCACTGGGTTTCCAATAGGACAGTCCACATCTTCCATGCAGATCCCATCCAGCACAGAGGGGCTCTGAAAGAGACAGGAGAGAAGGGGTCACTGCTGCGGCACCCTTAAGGCTCACAGCCATTCACCCACATCTCCATGCACGTCCCAAATGCTTCCAAACCAGCAGCACAGTCCCCCCAGAGCTGGGATAAGGGGCTCCCCAAGACAGCTTCATGGTTGGGTTGGAAGGGACCTTAAAGCTCACCCACTGGTTGTATGTGAAGAGGTGCAAAGCTTGGGAATTCAGCTACTGAAGTCCACAACAATGCTTTAGAAAACCTAAATCTGGGTTCCTTCAACACACCCTTCCTATCACCTTCTAGTAAGTCAGCCTTGAAAATCTATTGGTGACGGTGTTCTCCAGGGGCACAAACAGAACCAGGTTGCACGTGCTACAGGCGCATGGTGAGAGATGAGATCTGCTGTGCAGAAACCCTTGAAACGTCAGGGCTGAAGGGTTTTTTGGGGAGCACAGAAAATAAACGTACCTGGGCAGAGAATGACTTCTTCACTCTTTATCAGAAACCACTGCTGATTCTTCAACAGCTGCACAGCCATGCACTGCAGCCAGGAAGCAAAGCCAGCCTTCTTGGAGAGCAAAGCACCAGTGGCATAGACGGGAGCAAACATCTTCTTTAAGATCTAATACCCATCTCACCCCCAACATCCCAATGCTCCCTGAGCTCAGGCAGCTCAAGGTTGCGCCCACAGCCCTGGGAAGCTGTGCCATGCCACACACCACTGCAGAGTGAGGAACTACTGTGCCCAACTCCTCCCATACAGCCCCCCAACAAGGCTGCTCACCTCGGGACAGGTGCCCTGAACCTGCTTGTCTGTCACAATGAAGTTTGTCACCAGAAAAAGCACGTTTTCTCCCTGTGAGGCAAGAAGACACCTTCAGCACTGCGCTGCTGCAGAACACGCTTTAGAGCTTCCAACCTCTTCTTCGGGCAGCAGAGTCGGGAAGCTTTACGAGGGGGTTGCAGCCGGGGCTCGCAGAGATGCCGCGGTTGTGGCGCGGGTTCGAATCCCGGCGAGGGACGGGCCCGAGTTCGAATCCCGGCGAGG